ATAAATAAATAAATAAAGAACACGAGAATCATGCAATTAGGAGTTCTCTTAGGTCATATTTATTTTTTCAATTGAAGAAAACAAATATGCAAAGCATATTCAGATGAAAAAAATATATTTTTTAGGCAAGCACACACACGATTAAGCGACGTCGTTTTGTTGCGGCGCACGACGAGGTACAGCCAACATCCTGTGGTTCGGCCATATTTCCCCTTCCTCACCCCACCCGGTCGAGCACCGGATTTCTGATAAACCCTAGTTCATTCAATCCCCCCAAAACGCTCGTAAGATCCATTTCACCATGCTTAATTTACTTTTTCATTTTTGTTTTCGTTTACTCTTTACGATATAATTTCCTGATTTCTGATATTTAAACAATGGATACTGAATTCTTCTAGCTCTAATTGTTTATAATTTGATTTATTCTCCATCTAAATACAAGCTGTTTTGATTTCTTAAATATTGCTTTATTTTTTTATTTTTATTCTTCGTTGAATTAACTATGTATATATATATTTTGTGTGTGTGTTTCAGAAATTCAGATTGTTTTTTTATTTTCTATTTGCAGGGGATTGCAGTATTTCCATGTACCTAATTGGGGAAAGAATGCTATTTATCTAGTGATTTGGCTTAGAATTTTCAATGGTATAGCCCCTGCATTTCCACATAAACTTTGGAAACTCATTCAGGTTACTGTAATGATGTTAGTTGACACGTTCTGTTTATCAATTTTGTCGTCGCTACTCGATAATGCCTCTAGATAATTGTTTCAGTGATGGTGTTCTCTGTCCCATTTGTATTTCAAGAATTGAGTGTTTAATTTGTGCCAATCTGTTAGTTGGGTTAATAATGTCTGTGTCTTTTTTTGAAGGATCTAGACAATGAGGACCTGCCACAATACGAGCATATATTTCAAAATGAGTTCTCACACAGAAAGTGAGATTCTTTTTATTTTTATTTCTTTTGCCTATTATGGTTATTTTTAAGTGAATTCACTTTTTCTTGACTACTCTGCTAGTTTCCTGTGTGTTTTCATGTGTGTTCCAGCTACTTGTTATTTTTTTTGTTTGTTTGTTTGTTTTACAGTTTGCGCTTTTCCCTTCCTCCCCAACCCCGCAGTTAAGGATTTCGAGTGTCTAAATTCATGCCCTATTTTCAATTGAATACCATTTCAATCACTGAATTTCTCTTTGAATTGCATTTTTGTGTTGTGTTGACAGACACAAGAAGCAAAAGGAGGAAGATATTGCTATATGTGAATGCAAATTTGACTTTAGCGATCCTGATAGTGCTTGTGGAGAGAGGTGTTTGAATGTACTAACCAGCACAGAATGCACTGCAGGTTATTGCCCTTGTGGCGTCTACTGCAAGAATCAGGTGACAATCAAATTTTACATGTTCTTACCACACTTTATTTATGGTGGGGTTGGATACTTGGGTTTTACATGTTTGTATATTTCTATGTGCATGCATGTCTATGTGGGAGGCTTTGATGATTCTTCCATCACCTATAAGCGACCATGTCTATGTACCTTGACTATCTTGTCGAATATTATCTTTGGAGATGAATCCTGTTATTACCGATTTACCTTAAATTTACAATCAGTGCTGTTGTGCTTCCCATTTCATATGGCATGAATTCATATCCCTTTAACTTTAAATGACAACTTTTCTTTGGAGACAATAATTTGGGGAGGGGCGCAGGGGATAGAAAAGCCATGCTATTTACAAACATCCTTTCCATTTTGGTGAGACATGTAGGCAAAAATCTGATTATGGAATTATTTTCAGTTTCTCTGTTTGGATTTCATAAGTTACATTGTTAAATGCTTTATAATTTTGACTAATGTTCTTTGGTTAATTTATGTGTTTATTGTTGTAGAAATTTCAGAAATGTCAATATGCTAGGACAACCTTGTTTAAAACAGAAGGCCGTGGGTGGGGTCTACTGGCTGCTGAAAATATAAAGGTAATTTTACCAGCATTGTGTTGACATTTGGAATGAATTTAGTTATTGGTTTCTTAACTTTCTTTAGTTAGATTCTCTGGTTTTGTAATCCTTGCATTCATTTTCTTTATGTGCGTCTTATATGATAAAGGCAGGACAATTTATTATTGAGTACTGTGGAGAAGTGATATCATGGAAAGAAGCAAAGCGGAGAGCTCAAACTTATGAAAATCAAGGTAATACATAAATTTGGAAGAGATAAAATTTTCTAATGAAGAGTTATACACTTCTTCTTGTATTGATGCAGGTCTTAAGGATGCTTTTATCATCTCTCTAAATGGCTCTGAATCTATTGATGCCACCAAAAAGGGAAGCCTTGCTAGGTTCATAAACCACTCATGGTAATTAATTAAGTCAAAATTTTTAGGATGAATGGACTTTTCAGCTATAAATGTCTTCATCTCAGATGTAAACAGTAGTTATTTAAAATCACATTGACTGAATTCAAATTTTAAATTGTCAGCCAACCTAATTGTGAGACCAGGAAATGGACTGTTTTGGGAGAAATAAGAGTTGGAATATTTGCAAAGCAAGACATATCTGTTGGAACTGAATTGGCATATGATTATAATTTTGAATGGTATGGTGGTGCCAAAGTTCGTTGCCTCTGTGGTGCAACAAACTGTTCTGGGTTTCTTGGAGCAAAGTCTCGTGGCTTTCAGGTAAATTTTTTATTGTAAAGTTAGAATTTAGTTTAAAATTTAAGAAAAAGGCTAGTTATGCCTCAGTTTCTGTTCTGCTTGAGCAACTGAAGCAATTGAGATTAGGATATTTTGAGGAACTGTTGGCGCAGATGCATCCTAATGCAATTTTGAATTAGGGATTGTATTGCCTGCAATATCTATTGCTTCAGCATGGGTTAAGTCTCTTAGTTCTCACTTTTCCATAATTATTTTGAAATGATAAAACATGTTGCTCTTGGATTTGTGTTGGTGTGAATACACGGCTGTCCTTAATTTTTAAATCATATTGTCATTTCTGTATGAGCAGTTCTTTTACTTTTCTTCCACCTCCCTTATCTAAATTTTCTTCAATATTGATTTTTAGAATTTATTTTTGTGCTATTTTTTTTTTCTACCAGGAGGATACTTATCTATGGGAAGATGATGATGAACGGTAATGTATCACTATATTTTTGTGATGTATTTTCTTCTTCTTCAGTGTTTAACATGTTCCAGTCTCAACTTCCAATCAGCAGGAATTGTTATACAATTCTTTTGTGATCATATAGGTGTCTTAATTTCTTGATTGTCCCATGTGGGCCATGTTAGACATGCATGTGATGAGTTTTACAAATATGCTGACCTAAATGTTGATTTAGGTCTCAGAATACTTTTCATAATTTCTTTGCTGTTATTCTCTTTCCTTTTGAGATTTTGTTTATTTATTTTGTATTATTTATTTACGATAGTCTATCTTCCAACAGATATTCAGTCGAAAAGATTCCATTGTATGATTCTGCAGAAGATGAGCCTGCCACAAAGCTCCTCAAAACTGTGGACTCTAACTCTGGAAATGTTACCGACTTGGAAAATGAGAAGTCCATGAAAGTGGATATTAGTGAAGGGTGTGACCACCAGATGAAATCTACTGCCCCTGCTCAGACAATTGATGCAGTTCCGATGGACGGGGTAGGTGTGAATGCATTGAAAACTGAATCAACTGATGAGATGAAATTATATTCACAAGATGCTCAACAAGCTTTTCCACAAAATAATGCAATGATATCTCGTATCAAAAGTAACAGTGCATGTCGAAATTATCACATTAGATTAGGGCCCATGCCAAAGAAAAAATCACCGCATTATTCAAATGGAAAGTCAAAAAATCTTTCACAAAAGCAAGTTGATGCGAAGCGTGTTGTGCAGCTCTTAGCTTCATCGAAGGAAGCACAGGAGGAAGTTTTGAGATATGAGGTACGAATTGTCTATTCGCTTTCCTGCAGTTGCACTTTGATTTTATCTTTTTTGTAAAATAAGATAATTCTTGGTTGGCTACCAATCCATAGAGGATGGGCTGATTATATCATTTTTGTGCTTTCATACAAATGCTGATTCCAGAAGGATTTTAGGCTCCATAGGTATCAGTTTAGCTAATTATACACTGGATGAAAAGTCTTTTACTTTTTTGAGTCATCAAGTTGTAGCACACCAAAAACTAGTGCTCTTTTGTTCAAATATAGGGTATTATAGTACAAGAATTATGTGTTCTGGGGGGGTTATGCCATCAATCCTAGAATCAGTGAACACCATGCACATAATTTGAATAATTGCTGTTGCTTGTGTTCATTCTCACGGGTTTGAATATGGAGCATCATTCAAGGTTTGAAAGAATGAACTTTTCAAAGCTGATGTGGGTTTTTTTTTTTTTTAATTACTGTGCAGAAAATGAAGAATGATGCTGCCTCCCAGCTTTCGTCGTTGTATGACGATATACGACCTGTCATTGAAGAACACGAGAGGGACAACCAGGATAGTGTATCGACAAGTATAGCTGAGAAGTGGATCGAAGCATGCTGCTTGAAACTGAAGACAGAATTTGACCTTCATTCTTCTATTGTCAAGAACATACTCTGCACTCCACCGGCGGCACAGAGCCAAGCAATGCCTATCGAAGGAAGCAATGATAACGAAGTCAAGTACTTGGAGTTTTGAATTTAGAGATGTTATTTTGGCAAAGCCATACAATATTAACCGATGACAACAGATGATCCAAGAAATTGAAAATGGAAGAGGACGTCCGCCCCAAGAATGGGGTGTTGCCCTTTTCGCCACTTGCAAGCGCAGCAGCAAAAGCAAGGATATTCTCTTGACTTCAGTTAATTTGCTTGTAATCTGTCCAATCCTATAACTAGTGACCCATTAATAACTTTAAAATGAGAACGACGTCCCCAATTATCAGAGTCCACCGGAACTCCTCTTAGCTTAATTAGCTGAGGACTTGAGGGTGCAAGTGCAGTGATGGAATGCAAATACCAATACCACAAAGGATATTCCTTTGAGAATTTATTAATTAGACCACATGCTTTAACCATTTCATGTAATGTAATGAGAAAACAAAATTACGTAGAATCAAACTCAAAAGTTGAGTTCAATAACAAGTAAATATTGTTTTATAAATCATATTTAGGGTTTTAATCTTAAAGTGAATTAAAAAATTAATTTTTTTAAATACACGTGCTTTTAAAATTGCATTAAAAAAATTAATTTTGAAATATGTAAATTTTAACTCAAAAATATTAACAGTAAATAACAAAAAAAAAATCAAATTTATCATGATTAGATACATAAAAAAATGGTAATCATCTATGGATGAATGAGGTTATATTAGTTGTTGGGCATAATTGTGAATTGAGGTCACTCAATTTTGTAATTTAGCGCCTGTTCGCGAGGAGAAAATGTAGTTTGCAAAAGTTGTAACTCTTAACTTTCGTAGATTTATATGTTAAATATGTACTCATATATTGTTAAAAAAAGGAAAAAAAATTTGGGTTGTTTTCATTTTGAGTGCTTAATATATTTTTGAGCGACAAAAGGGTAGGACTTCATTATCAGATACTGTGTCGCATTGTGACAACAAATGCACATTGACTTCATGGACGAATTGTTGAAAAGGGTCTTCCTCAAATGCGACAAACTATGCACATTGACTTCATTCGACGAATTGTTGAAATGGGTCTTCCTCATGATGTCCTAAGGTCTGATATCTTACTATTGAATAATGATAATTGGGACGATAAAATGGGACGTAAACAGAGAACGAACATGAAGTGAGAGTCATCTAAGCAAATTATTACTTTAAAGAGGTTGCACATGACACAAAATCAATAAATCATGTCATTAATAATGTAAAATTGTCTCATGTATTCGTTCTCCATATCATCACCCCTTACTACTAACTCCCCCACCCAAGCACTGCTTAAGGGACCGATAGGTTCTTAAGCTGATGGAGACCGAATAGATGTGGCATCTCCACTAGGGGTGTCAACGGGGTCCCGCGAGGTCGGGGAGTCCGTCCCCATCTCCGTCCCTGTGAATTACGGGGACGAGAATTCCCGTGGGAAATCGTGACAATTTTTGACGGGAAGTAGATTTTGCCCCCCGTCCTTATTTCCTGTGGGGAATGGGATCCCCAGGGATCCCCATTCCCCACCAATTTATATCAGATGGCTTCAGTAATATTTTTGTGTTCTTGCTTCTGTTGTGGTTTGAAGATTTAGAGTATTGGATACATGCGTGTGAATCTAATTTTTTAGCATGGAGTGAATATAGTCAAATGAGCCTATACATATTTTGTTGCATAGATGTTGCAAGTGAGGGATACTGTTCTTCTTTGATTATTAGCTCAAAATTTAGTAATACCTTGATGAGAGGAGTTGAGAGAGTTGATTTTATAATGGTTTGGTTGGAAATTATACGCATCTTGTGAGTAGGTGCCATTGTTTCTGTGATGACTATCCTGTCTAATTATCCCTTAAAACTGCTTTGAAAAAAGAAAAAAAAAAAGAAAAAGAGGTTGAATGTTTCGTGGCCTTTGTTACTTGAGTAAGTATGTTCTTAGGGGTGTCTCTTCACCTAATGCCCTAGAGCCAATTAGTTTGGGAGTCATTGACAAAAAGCTCGTTACATGGGTAACTTAGAAAACCTAAGGAAACTTGACAAGAAAAAAAAAAAAAAGAAGGGATAAGCCAGCACACAAAAGAGTTTGATAATTTCTACTCCAATGTTTCTAAGTACTTAGTAACTGGGGGTTAGGCATAAGATCCATGTCAACTTTCACGTCAAACGGTAACTTGAAATATGAGTATGCAAAGTACTTTGAATTTGTGACTTATTGAGTAACCGGGTGCTTTCATCACAAATGTTAGCATTCGCGTCAAAAGATAAGTAATAGCACAAGGAAAATTGTGATGTATGGATGGAAAAAAAAAAAAAAAAAGAGAAGAAAGGGGTAATTACATGGTATGGTTGTTACATGTTTCAGTGATGCTTACTACTACTTTGCATAGATTTATTTAAGGATATTCATGACTATGAAGGTGATAGTCATAAACTCCCTTGCTTGGTATTACTGAAATTTGAACTAAAAATCGAGTTGAATGTTGATGCTTGTTGTGTTATCTGTGTGGGGAAAAATGTACACGAGCTTTGTTTTTTTTAGCTTTCTTTTGCTTGAGGACAAGCAAGAATTTAAGTTTGGGAGTATTTGATGAGTTTAATTTTGATATGCATTTATCTACCCTTTTTGAACTTAGAATTTAATTTTATAGGTCTTTTGTAACTTAGTTTCACCTTGATTTACATTAATTTCATTATTTGTAGGTGAAAATTAAGATAGGAATTAATTTTGCAATAAGTAATAATTTGCACATGCTGTAATAATTTAACCATATCTTTTTCTCTAGGTATCGGATTGAAATGATTCTCAGGCGTTGAAAATCTAAGAAACAGAGCTATAATTCATATTTTATGAGCTCAACCCAGTTCCATCAGCATAAATATAGAATTCCAGTAGAGATCAACGTTTTTGGCAAGAAGGCGATGAAGATTGCAAAAAAGAAAGAAAATAAAACGTGGTCTGTTTTGTGTTATGGGTTGGCCCAAAATAAAACCCATGTCTGCTAGGCCTAAGAGGAAATAAGGGTTTCTAAAATTCTTTATATATATATATATATGTATATGCTGCTTGGCACAGAGAGAAGGAGCCCCGAAATTGCTCTGCACAGAACAGAAAGCAAAGAACCAAATCTAGCCGCAGAAAGAGACAGCCCCACAGTTGAATCTGCTCTGCACAGAAGGAAGGACGCCCACCCAGATCTGTTCGCGAGAGAGCCAACGTCGTCGACCAGCCTCGATTCTTCTCCACACTCTTGGTTCGTATGCCACCCCGTCCATTGAAGGAATAGCATCCAGCATTAGGAGGCTAGTGATTCAAGCCAATAATTTTGAAATCAAACCATCTATCATTCAAATGATCCAACAAACTGTTCAATTTAGTGGTTTGCCTAATGAAAATCCTTACTTGCATATTATTAATTTTCTTGAAATTTGTGATACTATTAAGTATAATGGTGTTAGTAATGATGCTATTAGGCTTACATTATTCCCATTCTCTTTGCATGATAAAGCCAAGAGTTGGCCTAAATCTTTTTTTGCAGGTCATTTTACCATATGGGATGTTTTGGTAGAAAAATTCTTAGATAAGTTTTTTCCTCCTTCGAAAACAGCTAAGTTGAGAAATGACACTACTACTTTTGTTCAATTTGATAATGAGTCATTATATGAGGCATGGGAAAGATTTAAGGAATTGCTTAGGCAATGTCCAAATCATGGTTTACCTGTTTGGCTCCAAGTGCAGACTTTTTATAATGGTATGACTCTTCCTAATCATTCTATAATTGATGTAGCTGTAGGGGGTAATCTTATGAATAAGACAGAGGAGGAAGGTTATAAGCTGTTGGATGAAATGGCCTCTAATAGCTATCAATGGACTAATGATAGAGCTACCAAAAAGGGAGTTGGTTTACATAATGTTGATGCTTTTATTTCTTTATCTGCTCAAATTTCTATTTTGAATAAAAAGTTAAATAATTTAGGAGCGTCAACAATGAATATTTCATCTAATAGTTGCTGTGAATTGTGTGGGCAATTTGGTCATGCTAGTGTTGAATGTTAAGTAGGCAATTCAGTTCAATCTTCTAATGAGCAAGCTAATTTTGTTTCTTCTAATGAGCAAGCTTGCCATCTGGAAGTCTTCTACACTGTCCTCTGGTGGCCGCATCATTCTACTTAACTCGGTACTCTCTGCTATCCCTATCTTTTATATGTCGTTATTTTTAATGCCGAATTGTGTGGTTTCGGAGTTGATTAGTATTCAACGGGCTTTTTTGTGGGGTGAGGTGGAGTTAAAGAGGCGAATTCCATGGGTTAAGTGGGAGTATATTTGTTTAAGTAAGAATAAGGGTGGTCTAGGAGTGCTAGATTTATGTAGGAAGAACTGGGCTTTATTAGGGAAATGGTGGTTTAGATTAGGTGATGGGGTGGAGGGTTTGTGGAAGAAGGTGGTGCGGGAGAAGTATTATGGGGGCAGGGAGGAAGTAGATATTACGACATTTGAGAGTGTGAGGGTGTCTAAGATTTGGAGAGATATTATCAGTATAGGATAGCGATCTGTAAGATTACAAGATTTGTTGATCAAGGGCTTCAAGTGGGTGGTAGGGGATGGCTGTTGAGTGGGGTTCTGGAGGTCGGTTTGGGTGGGGGAGAAATCTTTAAAGGAATTGTGTCCTCGATTGTTTGAGTTGGCCGTAAATAAGGAGGGTTTTCTTAGTGAGATGGGGGGTTGGGAGGAGGGTAGTTGGCGATGGAATATAATTTGGCGGAGAGAGAGGTTTGGAAGAGAGAAGGATGAAGAA